CTGCTTCTGCATCTCTTGGAACATCTTCTGCCGCTCCTCGAGGGCCCTTGCCTGAAAGGCGAGCCAATCAGATCCAGGCGAAAGGTTTCGGGTTGGAGACTTTAGGGGTGGTGGTAGGTTTCAGGATGCCTTGTGCACGGTTTAGGGTTTAGGGTTTAGGGTTTTCTGTTACGCTTTGGGCTGAGGGGCTTGGCGTCAGGATTCGGGAACGAGGGGCGGTGGGTGTGAAGTTCGGGTGTGGGCGCACTTGCGCTTTTGCTTTAGGACTGAGGATCCACGTTGCCAGGGGTTGGAGCAGAATAAGCAGAACCCGCAGCCTCCGAAAAGCAAGCCCGAAATCTTAAGTCTCAAACGGTTTAGTACTATGTAGGGCAAATGTAGGGTTTGGGAAATGGAATCATGGGAATATCGGGAAGCTCAAGCCCGTAACTTCGAGCCCAAACTGACTGCAACGACGAACGACCCCGAGCCCCTAACCCCCTGGGCACAAACCTAAGCTCAAAAGCCCGTGATTCATCGTATAGGCCCCTAAACCCCAGAAGCCCTAAGCCCAACAGCGCCTTGGGGTCGGGCTTCTCGTCATCTGAGTCGACGACATGATCGAACCTCTCGCAAGGGACGTGGCTGCGATGTGGGTGGTTATCCAAATTAGGATCTTTTTGAGGTTCCCAGAAGACACGGCGATGTTGACAATTACCCATGTATGTATAAAGATGCCTTTAGGGCTGTCTTGAAAGTGTGTTTGTCCGGTGCACGTGGGTCGGGACCTGGAGTCTGTATATGCCAAAGCCGTATAGTTGGGTTTTGTTTATAGAGATGTTTAAACCATGAAACGGCAAGGTTTTTCGCATGAAGCAGCGAAGCTTTAGCCTGAACACTTTGATTGCAAATTGCTGAACTGTCAGCCTGTGTGCCTTAAGCCCTCACGGCGCTTCAACCCGATCTGAAGGTTTCTCAAAACTACAGGCACCATAGAGTCCTTATCATTATGAGGGTTCCTGAACTGTTGAAACTCACACATCCTGATCAGCCTACCCAAACCCTAAACCCTAAA